AATTCCCAAGCATAAAAATACTCCAACACAGGAAAATATCGAAATCTTTGTAGTTGGATGTAAGATTGGTGAAAAAGTAGGTGAGGCTTTTATTATGTACAACAACGGCCACATAAATTCCCTAAGTTCATTCAGAAATTTATAGATTAAATGATATGGCTTACGTGTTCCAAGCAGAGATTCTTGCTTTAAGAAAAGCACTCATCTGGATAGGTTCCACACATCAACTGACAACATTCCTATTCGTATTTTTACAGATAGCCGCATTTCCCTTCAAAGTTTAAATAGTGGTAAAATTACGAAAAGAAGCATTTTTAGCTTAAAAGAAATCATAAAAACACTTTTAGATTCCCATTCTCTAGAGCTTAATTGGAGTAAAGTTCACATCGGATCTGCTCTTTCGTTTCCAGGGAGCGAAAGAGCAGATTCCGAAGCAAAAAGAGCAACACAAGAAGATCAGATAGATGTGCCACTTTCAGAGATTTCGGTCGAACATCAAGTCCTGCAAGAACCACTTAAAAATGGCACCAAAGATGGGATGAGGACGCTACATGACGTTCCACTTACGCCTTTTTCCCACAAGTTTCTCTCTTTTGTATATAACCAGATAACATTTTAAATCAAATCTTGAAAAATCATGGTACATTTCCGCAATATATTCAAAGATTTCACAAAAAGAACACAAGATGTGGCTGTGGGACAAGTGAAGAGCTTTCAGAATGATATACAGTATTAATGATATACAGTAAGTCAGAAGACTTACTGTATATCATTAATCGTACAATGTTTACGTCATCCAGCTTGTTATTTTCCCTTCCATTCACGTCAATATAGTGTTTACTTGCATCTGTAACAACCTGTGTATCTGTTTATATGTTTATTCGAATTTTTTTTATTATTTTGTTATTATTATTATTTATTATCTTATTATTATTATTATTATCATTAATTTATTGTTATTATTATTTGCTACTTTGTTTGCATATCTGTTTATATGTTTACATGAATTTTACTCTGCTTTAATTAATTGTTCATTTATGTAAAAAAGGAGAAAAATATTTTTTTTTTTCCTTTCGATTCCACTAGCCTTAGTATATGAGCCGAACCAAACCAACCGGTACTTCCTTACTATTACGGCCATCGTTTTGTAAACGGCGCCACGATGATCGATAAATCGTCAACGCAAACCATCTTAAAATGGCTGGGAGTGCTATTGACGATCTTATATCAGAAAAGGTTTGGTTTGGCTTGTTTAATAACGGCAAAGCACTCAAGGGCTATTTGCCTAAGGGAAGGGATGCCTTCGTGGAGGATATTTAAAGGGAAAGTAGCTCGTATATACGTTACACACGGAGAAAACCACGAAAACGCCCATGCAGCCACACCATTCGTTATGATTCGAACGCCGGACCGAACTACCAGTGTTCAGCGACTTTACCCCTCGGCCGCTGGTGGGCTATCAAAAAAAGCAAAGAGAAGAAAAAGGTGTGTGGCGTGGAAGCACTCAGCTCATCAATGTTTACTAATATTTAACAGTGTTTAGCAATATTTTTATTCGAAACATCGTGTAATCATGCATAGTGAAATTTTTTATTAATTTCACGAGTTGATTCATTTTGTTAACTTGACTACCCATTGTTGCACAGTTTCTAAAATAAAATTGATTCATCTTCGTTTAATCTTTGCTTAATATTATTTATGTATTATTTTATTTTCATTTAATCTTCGCGCTAATTCTCAAAATGTACATACAACTTTAAAGCTGGATTTATTCTTTACTTTTCAAATACCCCATTCTCATTTTCATGGAATTCATGCCGTAGCAAATTTCATATATTTTGTTATCTGATTCATGAAGAGAATCAGAGTTTTGTTAATTTGCTCATGGCAAGAAAATCTACGAGTAAAACACTTTAACTTCCTTGTACAAAGTAAAGGAAGTATTGTAATCGCGAAAAGTTTCAGGTATCGTATTTCAACGAAAATATCCATTTTTACGCTCTGATTCCATTTGAACAATGCTTTTGCGTTACATTTGTACGTACAGACAGCATAAAAGACTCTTTTTCTCAAAACGGATTGTGAAATGGATTTAAAATGGATTCAGAAGAGATTTTAGGTCACGTCTGTACATTCGTACGTATTTATATATAACTCAAAACTCCAAAACTCAAAAGTCAGAACGTTGAAATTTTGCATATGGGACTGCTATAACATGTAGATGTGCACCTCCTTTATGATTACAACCCACCATACCAAAAGTATGTAAATATATATATATCTATATATTTATACCCACTCTGTTACCCGGCTCGGTGAATTACGTTTTTTTATTCTTATATGTTGGTAAATTGTGAATATTTTGCTATAAAAGTGATTGAATTATGTTGTTCTTATATTCCGATTAGCGTTTTTATGTCTTTAGTTAAGCTGCATGCACTAGTTGTAAAATTATCAACAATTTAAAATTTGTTAAAGTTCCACTAAACCTAACTACGCGACCATTTGTAACTTAGTAGCATAGTGTGAATCAGTTTCTGCTCCAACTTCAGTGTATTTTTGCCGAGTAGGGCCAAAAGTTCAGTGCACTGAAAAAATCTGTCTTTCTCCCTATTTTAATTAATTTAAACTCTAATTTTAATCTTCAATTTTTTTAACGGTTTTTTAACTCTGTTTGATATTTTTGGTTTTTCTAGGGCCGGGAGCGCTATTGGCGATTTTATATCAGGAAAGAATGAGAATTTTTAATGAAGGTTTTTAAATGAAGGTGTTTAACGTCGATTAAACTTTCTGAAAATACAAGTACTGTCTGTTACAATTTTGTGAGATAGGTTTTCCTTTTAATCCGATAACCAAATAAATAGTTGACCATGAAAAAATTTCGGACATGAACCAAAATTTCATTAACCAGGGGAAAAATCAATGCCAGCAGGGTAGTTCCACAATGATGAATAATTCGCAGGTATGACGAGGAACCGGTGAATTTGTTTCAGCTCACATTCCGAATTACCATAATCATGGCAAAATTTGTCGACCACGTACAAAAGAAGGCAGAAGAGAAACACGCCAAATGAAACATAAAATTAGTAACACAACAGCCTTTATGTTATAATTTCAAGTACAAAATGTTATGAATGATTTATTCAGACTCTTCGGGAGCATATAAAACAAAGAAACGGGAAAAGAGGGCTTATGATGAGAGATTATGGTGCTCCGATAAGTTATGGTATAAAAGACAGCAAGGCATGATTCATCATCTTAAGTTATAAGGTATTTCTCCCGCCTTCTTGGCATGCCTTCGTAGTGTGGTGGTCTGCACGCTGGGCGCGTATTCCAGATGTCTGTGATTCGATTCCAGGCGAAGACATTGTTCATTTTCCACTTCTTCTGCTACCAAAAAAAATACCTAATGACTCTGCCAAGTCTCTCATAGTGCACAGTTCATGTAAAGAAAGCATTTCTGATGCTGAAGCAATGGCAGAAACGTAGCCATAAAGCGTATTTGAAAAATGTGGTACAATATTTTAATAATATTTTAGTTTCTTTTTAAAATCAAGCAACGTTTGTCGTAAAAAATATTTTAAGATTTAAAGAGATGAACGCTAAACTCGGAATGGTAAATTTTCTGCAAAAAATTACAATGTCTACAAAAAATTACTCTGTAATTTTCTTACTTTACGACTTTGCAAAATACATTTTAAGTGTGGCCCTCAAGTCTGCCATGGGGTTTGTTTTGGTGATCTAGATCCTATTGAAATTGCATAGCAATCGTGATATTTTTAAATGAACGCCAATGTTTGATTTCAATGAAACTAGGTTTTGGAAAGTTAAAGTAACTAAAATATTTTTGTTTTCAAGCTTCAAGTAACAGGGAAAAAAACAGTCTAACTTTTATAAAGTTTTGTGGGATTCGACGACTAAAATCTACAATCTGTAATTTAAAGTTCTTATTACAATAAATTATATTTTAAAAATTTTCATTTAGAAAGTATAAAAAAGTAAGTGATATTACGAATTAGGATTGAAACGAATTTTTTATCTTCGAGATCTACTGCTTTCCTTATAAATGTTTCTGTTTTTCTTATCCAAAGCAAGCACAATGGATTTAATTTAATTATTCGTTTAATAATGAAAAAGAAATTATCTTCATGTTCAAGAGGTATGTATTAATATGGTAAAAAAAAAACCTTTCAGCTGGTTGCTTTTATTAATTAATTCACATGTAGCAATACGTTCTTCAAGGGATCTTATTGATTCAATAGCTGAATTTTTTGTGAAATTTATTCACTATTATCTGTTATTCAGAATTTGTTATTACATATATATAATGTATGTTATTCAGTATTTATTATCATGTACATTGTTAGGTATTATATGACTATTATTATGTATTATGTTTTCCTCTTACATTTAAGGAATTAAATTTCTTTACAGCCACTATAGCTTTCTGCAGAAAGCTCATGTAAACATTTGAGAAAATGCTTACGAATAAGACTATTTGTTAAAGTCAGAATAATTGTATTAAACTATATATAATAAAGTTAACGTTTTTCAAACTGCATCTTGAATGAAGATAAATGTAAATAAATAGGAAAAAACTTACAATTGTATAACACATCGGATTTCCATCTGGATCAGTCATAGTTCCTCCTAAAAATGCTGGTAACTGATCAGCATCAAATCGTTTGAGTAGTTCTTCTTTCCAATCATCTAAAGGTTGTAAGAATTCGTAAATCCTTTGAGCAAAATATTCTTATTTTAAAAACTGTATGCATATATCTAATCAACAGTATATTCTCCCTTCAAGTTAGTAAGAAGCAAAACGCTAAAATAATTTTGTTTTTTAATATAGCAGATCATGTAAGTTTGGGAGAGGAAGAAAGAAAATTAAAACTTGAAATAACGATTGCATTCGAATATCAAATAAATCAACAGAATCAGAGGCTTAGCTAAAACTTTTACTGTCAGGTCCAGTCCTTGAATTTGTGGTACCTTTTGATATAACTAAAAAAATGTCAAAATGACATACAGGGAAATAAATTTAAACTATGCTTATTCTTGAAGAAAGATTTTAATTCCAACAATTCAAAATTATATTATTATTTTTCATATTATTTCGTTCTCAAAACCCTAGATGGCATTGTAGAGGCCTACTTGATTGCTCCAGTTGTTGTAATGTAGAAAGCAGAGAAAGATTTCTTATATGAAAAATATGCATTTGCAGTTCTTAAATACTTTCTAAATGATTTTTATTTAGAAAACTCTTCTCACATCCAACAACACTTAAAGCAATTTTTGAGGAAGTTTGCAATAGTATTACAATGTTTTGAACTTCTAAAGATTGCATTTTGGAATAAAGTCCAAAAGCTCAAGAGGACCCTGTTTTATTTTCCCGAGGAATAACAGCAATAAAACTCTTAAAATACGTCTCTCTTAATTCTTCACGATTAATGCCACCGTAATCATAATTTAAGGGAGATTAGTAACGTTTAGTCAAAAGTTGAGATGAAATAAAAAAGATATAACAAGTGTATAACAAGGTTATGAGCTGCTGAAATCTCATGGTGATACTTTTGAATACTTTGTCTCGAGTAAAAGATATTTCTTTTTCTCACAATTTAATTGATATGCAATTCAGAATATCATTATTTCTTACGTACCCCGACAATCCTCATGAAAAATGTTGCCGCAGAAATGGGACACCCGGGATGGACTACCCCCTTTAGTTACGCGATTGAACGGAATGCGTAAAATAATTAAATGTAATCAAACTTCATTGACATTAATAATTTCAGGGAGATATATATTCAAAACTATTTAAATGTGTCGTGGTTTAGCTCGAAATTGCATCTTAGAGAAATTTAATTTAAAATAAAAAATGTTTTACAGTCAATATTCATAAATGACAAATATTGGAATAACTATAAATTTCTGAAAAATTAATGCTTCATAGCGTTATGAAGAAACAGAAAGAGACTTAATTTTTTTATAGTATTTGAGAGCATGCGGAGAGAATTATGCATCTCATTTTACAAAATCTCCTGTTTTAAAATGACGTAAGCACTACACGGCAGAATGACGGTATCTCTGTACCAATCCAATATGTATATATCAGGTAAAAGACAAGTTATATTTATGTAACTTCAAAAAGAACCTCGAATTCTATGCTTTAAAATACCGCTTCTTAAACGTTTTCATTCATCTCTGTACCAATCAAATATATATCAGGTAAAAGACAATTTATATTTATGCAACTTAAAAAACATCCTCGAAATCTATGTTTTAAGATACCACTTCTTAAAATTTTTCATTCATAACGCCTTTCTATTATTGACACTTTTCGTGATCCCAGATATTAAATATAAAGTTAAAAATATAAAAACATAAAAAATAATTTATTTTGTAAGCAATACACACATAAAAAGAGACAATTTAAAAATTTGTTTCGAGTATATAAAAATTAATGAAAGGAAATCACGTTTTAATAAAGACGTATGTGCTTCTTTTCTTCTACATATCAAATTAAATCTTAGTGCAATATTCGGCATTGTTGAACAATAATAATTAACCTTGAACGGTGTATGGATTAAATAAAGTTTGAAAAAGTCGTTTCACATAAATATATGGTGCTGAATTACAGAAGAACATTTAATGGCATTTAAAAATTTGTGGGAATTGTAACTTCGAATTCTATGCTATTCTATGAAGTCAGCTTCACTGTAGATGTTTTTTTTTTCTCTTGTGTGTTTTTCCAAAGGACAACAAAATACCAATTTTGCATGATTACTTTCTTTATAAATGTGTCCGACATACACTAATAAAAGAGCTATTTTTTGAAATATCAGTTGTTCCGTCCAAAGAAATTGTGGTGCACTAGCGGCCGAGCGATAAAGTTGCTGAACACTGGTAGCTCGGTTCGAGGTTCGAATTCCAGCGAACGGGCTGGCTGCATGGGCGTTTCCGTGGTTTTCACCATATGTAACATTAACATGAGCGAATTTTCCTTAGGAAGTTCTCCAAGAAGACATCCCATCCCTTAGGCAGATAGCCCTCGAGTACTCTGCCATAATCAAATAAACCAAACCAAAGGAACTGTAAATTATGGGCTTTCATTAAAACTAGTAAAAAGTTGCTATCACTGGCCACTGTTAATTTCAGAAATTCTATTGGCGACAATGTCGTTTCGTAAAGAAATTTTTCGAATTCCATCACCATATTTACTTTTGTGAGTTATTTCTACAATTTTAATAGCAGCACTCAATACATGGTCTTCGCCAGTGATGTACGACCGTTTTATTTTTAGCAGTCAGATATGAAACTTCGTATGATGCAAGTACGAGGGCAATCCAAAAAAAAGGTCTCCTATATTTTTAGATATACAAAGAACCGTTTTTTTTCTATAATTTTGCTACATCAGCTTTAAGAGATTGAAGGAATGCTTTTTCAACATAGCGCCATTTCGTCGATGCATTTTTGTAGTACGCTTGGCAGTGTTACAATTCCCATGTCATACCACTTGCCGCCATCTTTCAGGAAGCGTTGACCTCATCGTGCCTCATCATCGGAGCAGACCGCCGTCTAGACAATGTTCCTTCCTTAGGGAACAGTGGAAATCGCTGGTGCCAAGTCCGGCTGTAGGGTGGGTGTGTGATGATGTTCCAACCAAAATTTTGCAGGAGATCGACCGTTTGACGGGCAACGTGAGGACGAGCGTTGTCTGGAGAATCTTCACCCTGCTCAACATCCCTCTTCTCAGGTTCTGAATTCCCTCTGTTTCTTCAGTGTTTCACATACCTGTCGCGTTGACTGTTGTCCCAGCAGTCAGAAGTCGACCAACATTACCCCCTCCTGTCCCAAACACAGTTTCCATGACTTTACCGCAGATGTGTTTGCTTGAAATTTTCGTGTCTTGGCGAAGAGGATCCCTACTCGCGTGACTGTTTTTTTTGTCTCAGGTTGTAAAGTGGGAAGCCCAGGTTTCGTCACCTGTGACCTTGGAGTCCAAGAAGTTGTCCTTTTCGTCTCCTATCGGCGAAAATTCGTGAGAATCACCCGTTGCGGTTGTGGTCTTCTGTCATTCATGCGCGGCACCCATCTTTCACACACCTTCCGATATTGCACTTTTTCGTTAAAATCTGTTATGGTGCTTCTGGAAACCTCAGAACCAAAATGCAGAGAACATCCCCGAGTGATCCCTCCATCTTACGCATGAGTTCTATCTTTCGCGATTGTCTCGTCGCAATTGACGGCCTCCCCTCCTTTCTTCGTCATGATTTCAGTACGACCGGCTGTAAACTCTCTACACCACGTGCGAACGTTTTGACTCAATGCAGACTTCCATACACGATCCGCAATAGGCCGGTGAATTTCAACGGGCTTAACGCTTTTCGCGTTCAAAATCGAATACCTGCGCGCACTTGCCTTGCGGTAACGTTTATCGGGAGCTCCATTTCGAATCCGAGCGAAGCACCTGCGTGCTTATGTGGTAGCGGAGAAGGCACCACTCACAACAGTGTTGCCAACAACCGTATTAAAACTTTCTCTACGTCCCCAAGAAATAGGAGACCTTTTTTTGGAATTTTCACTAAGAGACATAAGTTCCTCATATTGTTTTTCTTTATTTGAAGATTTTAAGAATCATTATCGAACACTGTTTCGAGAAATTAAAAAAAAATTATTAAGTACAAGATGTCTGAAATAGAACTATCACGCTACCAGACTAGAACCCTCATTTACTTTCAGTTCTATTGCAAAACATCAGCTACACTATGCCACTAAATCATGTGTGCAGCTTTAGGTACTAATATTGTATCATATAAATCACTGTAAAGGTGTGGTACTGAAAGTTCAAAAACAAGAAAGATAAAGTTAAGACATGCCTCCCCCCTCGATATTTCCGAAACCAAAGACAAGGCCAACCAAGTTTCTGAACCCTCTCCCGCCGTACCCCCTCTATGTGCAAGCCCAAAAAGATCGTTGCAGAAAAAAAAAAAAAAAAAAAGTACCGAAGCTTGGCCGGCGCTATGAAAGGTCGCTTCGGGCACCGGGTTGAGTATCAGTCGTAAAGTATCAAACCCATTTAACATATCTTAGGGCGAAACTTTTGTACGTTCATTTTCATTAATGTTTTCATTTTCTTCATCATCAATCATTCTATGGACCTGAGAAATTTCTACTAAGATGAACCTGAGAAATTTCTACTAAAGATGATATATTGGAAGATAGCTTTTTTTATGCTATCTTCCAATATATCATCTCAAGTATATATCATCTTTAGTAGAAATTTCTCAGGTTCTCAGCATCATTATCTACACTGGTGTGCAAAACTTAAGCAACAATGTAAATTTTAATCTGATAGCCATTAAATTGTAGAAAAGAGATTCTTGCGTTCAGTACAATGAACACGCAATTCAGTAGAAAGGTCATATGTATGCAAATGTCAAGAAAAAACCGTCACAGGCTACTTGAGCGTACGCAAAGTGCGTACGGTCGGCGCGCTCATTTCCAGACTACCATAAAAGGAAGGATGGAGACGCAATTAAAGACATTCGCTGGAGTGCAAGGAGTTCTTTCGTGAAATATTGGCTAGAAGAAATGATCTGGATGACTTAACACGTAGAAGAATGATCGAAAGAGTAGAGGCGAAGTGTTACCAGTAGAGCTGAATAGTTCGGAATCAACAAAAGTGTCATTTCGCGCACATGGAAAGCCTTACAAACCATACGTACGGCTGTTAGAAAGGTTGGTGGTAGCAGCCCAAGGAAAACAACTGCAGTGGATGACCGATATATTGTCCTGCAGGCGAAAAGAGCCCGAAACCAGTCCCCACACTCCATAGTTCAACAACTGTGTACAGCAACGGGACGACAAGTGTCGCAGTTTACTTTGTCCAGAACCTTCACAAAGGTGGCTTATTCACCTGCCGTCTTGAACGCTGCATCCCTTTGAAACTTGGCTATCGGCGTCACCGTTTACAGTGGTGCAAGAAGCGCAAAAATTGGCATCTCATCAATGGAGTCGTATTCTCCTTACGGATGAGAGTCGTCGTTTTAGTGCCTTAAGCAATTCACAGCACAATTGATTTGAGAGAGGTCGGGAATACAGTTTTAATCTCAGTAACAATCCACGGAAAGAGACCGTTCCTGGTGTCCTGAGATCTCTCATCTGGAGAGGCATTATGCGACCGGGCGGACGAGCTCCACGTTTCGACAGAATTTCTTGTAACCGGAGAGAGCTATTGTCAGGAGTTGATCCGTTCCCCATGTGCGTCCTGTTCCGAGGTGCCATTGGAGTCAGATTTCGTGTTTTATGGTCACAATACACGGCAACACTAGACTCCCAGTATTGCTGGTTGGGCCCACTAAGCTGTTCAGAACTACGGAAAAGTGAAGATATTACTCGAATGGATGGACTCGGGTTGCCCTGGATTGAGATAAATCCCGGAGAACTGTGTTGGATACTTTGGGAAGATGCCTTGTTGCATTATTACATCCTCCGGTGAACACCAGCAACTGAAACGATGCTGATTGAGGAATGGCACTCTTAAAACCTCAAGTCTGTTGGACAATCTGGTGTTTTGAGTATGGAGAGACCGTTCCGAGCAACCATTGCGTAAGGGGATTGCATATCCCATAGTAAGGAACATCTTCTTGCTGTTCCTTTCCTCTTGTCTAACAATCATGTATACCGATACTATAGTGCATAAAGCCTATTTTTGTTTGATTTCATATTCATACTGTATGCATTGTATTCATTTTAGGGAACAATTAATCTTTCGTCATCGTTTAAATACAAAATGCTGTTTCTTAATTCTGAATTTCATTTCCCTCTGATGATTTCTCGTGGAGTTATGCAAAAAAGAACACCAGTTGCTTAAGTTTTGTACACCAGTGTATAAATAAATAATCGTTTAATTGCTCATTATTGTTTAGTTGTTCTTGATGTTTTAACTGCAAGCACATATTATTCAATTACTCATCTTGCCCATTGTTGTCACTGATACTCCTATTATCGGTGGAATTAATCTTGGTGATGAAGCCAGCTTAGCAACTGTGAACAGTTTTCTTAATGACATTATAATTCATAATTTTGCGAGTTCAGATACGCAGTCAAGTGAACCTATTATAAATAAAGACTAATTACTTACAATTTCTCATTAAGACCTTCTTCAGAATTTTTTTGCTGTAATACCTTAGAACCGTATAAGGTACTTCTTCCGCTTTCCTAGCGTGCCTTCGTGGTGTAGTGCTCAGCACACTGAGCCGGTATTTCAGAGGTCGTGGTCCGATTTCGGCGAAGGCGGGTGCTATTTTTCACTCTCTGGCTTCCCAAAATCCTATGTCCTACAGTGAGCCAAACTAAAAGGGTGGTTGGATGATGATTCTCTCACCCGGATTGCCGATTGGGCCCCTAAAAACCCCAGTCGTCTTTAAAAGGGTAGTAATAATTATTTCTCCCGCCCTTCTCTAGCGTGCCTTTCGCGTATTGTAAGGCCTTCTGCACGCTGGACCGGTATTACACAGGTCCGTGGTTCGATTCCCGGCGAAGGCGGTTGCTAATTTTTCATCTTACCTGCTTCCAAAAAATCCTAATATGTCTTCAAGGTGAAGCAAAGCATTTCGTGAAAACCTTTAGAATTTTAAGGACACTGTAAGCGATGTTAAAGAAATTAATGATTTTAACATTGAATTAATTTTAAGAAATTTTGGCAAATTGAGAATTTCATGAAAAAAAAATGGAACATAGAAACGCCAATATATTATTAGTGATTGTCCTAGTTTAGTATTGTGCGTGTAATTTATGCCTTTCTTTTTGTTCTCCCTTTTGTTTCAAGCCAGGAATGAACCACTCATGTGTCATACCGCTACTTCGTAGCCAAATATATATATATATATATGTGTGTGTGTGTGTGTGTTTGCATTATCATAAATCATATTGATAGCTTATAACAAGTGATAATAAAGATAGCATTACTTTCATGATAATTATAATATACACCGCATATTATAAGATCTATTAAACTGTAAACTAGTGCGGAATTTTAAATATCAATTCACAATAAATTTCATGAAAAGAACTAGTTAAGTTTCTTGGTGCATTATTAGTTGCACAAAAAATTTATATAATAGATATATAAGGAATAAAAATTTCTTATGTGTTTACCTTTTGACAAAATAGAAATTTTGCTGAGTAAAGTTCCTGTTAAACACGCTTTGATGATTGCAAAAGGAATAGAAAAGATCATAGGGGCTGTAAGAAAAAAAAAATTCCTAATGATATATTTTTGTTGTATTGAGAGTTTATTTATATTTATCTAGATTTAATTCTTAGTGAGTAGAATCTTTAAAAATTAATAATAATGTTACTTACGGTTAATGATATATACAGCTTTCATCATTTCAGGATAATTATCTTGATAAATTGTAACAAAGTAAGCAAAATGTCCGACGACTGAAAAAAATGGAGACTGGAATTACAAATTATTTTATAGAGTACATATTTTAATACTCAGTTTTTACAGAAATTTTTTTCTATTTTCCTAAATGTTGATTGTATAATTTAATTACAATAATTTAATTCCATATAATTTAATTCAATTCATTATTCTTTACAAACAGTCACTCGGAAATACGCTGCCAAGCTTCCCATGATGACCAAGTAACAAAGGCGATCATCTGTAAAACTGATCACTGTTTCTGAAGACATAAATAAACATCGGTTTTGATAACTGTAATATTATCGCCTAAAATTATCCTTTCCTAATCCGATTGTAAACATTAAATACATATTAAAGACGCAACAGAAATATTTAATTTCGGTATTAAGCTGAAATAACTCAAACGCAAAATGTTGATTGAATCTGACTGGTAGAACAATATGCATGTCAGTGTTTCTACTTTTGAAGAAGAGGGCAAATCTCATCTGGTGGAGGAAGAAGGTGAAGAAATGTTAGCAGTTCTTTCAGAGGAATTATTGAATTATTCGTTACAATTACACTACGAAACTCTGAAGCTTCGTAAATTTTGGAAAATTATCGTTTCTGAAAGCTGAAAATTTATTTACATTAAAAATTATAAAAAGGGAATCACTGAAATGAGATATGAATTTATTTACTTTTTACAATACAGAGTATAATATTTACATTGAACGTGACTGAGAAAGAGCGCTCTTATTCATATTGTTCAAATTATTTTTGTGATATTTCAATACAGGAATGGAGGGAAACCTCAGGGATTCTACAGTATCCACTTCGAGAACTATTGTTTTAGACAAGTGCGTGTTTGTCAAATAGGCCAAAATATACCTGGTTTGTTTTCTATAAATACCCATTTATTTTAAAGGATCTAAAAACAATTCTACAAATAATGAAATACTTAAAACATCCTCAGCTGCAAAAGCGCAAATGAACGAGATAAGATATAGTGATTAGATAAGATAACATGGCGCCATCTGTTGACGAAACCAGAACTGAAACATAATTTCTTTAAAGGCTTAAGGCAAAGAGGTATTGGAAATAAAGTATATTTTGAAAAGTGTTCTCATTTTTTGTTTGAAATAATGACAGAAATTTACACTAAGTTTCTGTGTTTCCCCCATTTCTCTGTAATATGATCTCAGTTGAAGTGCAAGAAAGGTAGGAAAAAAAAGCGATTTTTGCGAGCTGTTTTGTGCATAACTGTAAAAGAATATTCGCTGTAATCGAAAACGTCTTTCAGTCTAATTTTTTAAACGGGGCTGTACCTGGATAAATTACAATAATATAATAATTGATATAACAATTTTTTTTTATGTTTCTGCTCCTCTGTTAGGTAATACTGTCATAAAAATCGCCATATATAATTTCATCATCTTTGTATTCATGTTCATTATGGTGACTGAATACTATGAAGGCAAGACTAAGTTACAGAGACTCTGAGAAAAGCCTATATTATTTTTTTTTGTCAAATAACTGTCTTGTGTAAAAGAGAGAAATTTATGCATATAAAAGTTATACTTACGGGATTTGTCTGTAGCTTTGGCAAATGTAAGCTCTCGCATATCATACACATAAGTACATCCCCCTAATATTTTTCCAAACTATAACAAAATAACAAACTATTACTGCTGTCATAAACTCATGATAATTCTTATTTTCTCAAATGTTTTAAAATGAAAATATCTTGAATTAAATGATATAGAAAGTATATAGATTTGATGGATAATGTTAGAATTTAAACAATCTATAAGATACTATATCATTCCAGTATGCAAAATTATGAGTACAGATTGATAGATGAAATTTAATGTTTTACCTTTCCTTTACATTTACCAACATATTATCATTTGCATCTAGAATATAAATTCAGACATATTTGAGAAAGATCTACGAACTTACATTTTGCAGTATCGATATAAAGTGAATAGAAAACATTATTTTGAAGACATACAGAGACAGGAGACGTCTAGAAACGCACGATCTTTAAAATTTCTGAGATCTTCACTAGAAGTTGAACTTGTTTAAAGGTGTGTGTGTATGTGATTATGGCAAAGCCTCGAGGGTTATCTGCCTAAGAGGAGGGATGCCTTCGTGGAGGACTTTCTAAGGGAAACTGGCTCGTATACACGGTTACACATGGGGAAAACCACGAAAACACCCATGCAGCCAGCTTGTTTAAAGGAAAACCTTTCTTAACCATATTTCAGACCATGGAACGTTCAAACGACAGGTTCAGTCTGCTAACAGCTGCACATCAGGAGCACGTTGAAGATTGCTGATATTTTTCTTACTACTATTTAAGTTGATTTAATATTTTTATTCATAAAAACGTTTTCTTACGATCACTTCTTTCAACAGGCGAAACCGAGATAAATTTATTACTGATTTATTAATGACACCTTATTCCAAGGATTTCCATTTCTCCACTTTGGGCATGCTCAAGTCATCAAATGTCAGGGCTGGTGTTATGCGTTTTACTGGTCTTGTACCATATTCTTTGTTGATTCGTTTAGCTCTGACAACTTCTAACCTTCAAAATTCTATGCCTTTTGACATTCTAAGCCTTATTAATTTTTTTTAATTCCATGATTTTAGTTAAAGGCACAAAATGCCAAAACGCTATTTTTTAGCTATAATCATAATCATCATAATCTTGGTTCTGTGCGGCTTAAAATAAAATTGAAAAGCAAAATTGTATTAACGCCTCAACAGAATTTCTAGGAAATATTGGAGTGATAGTATAGAGAACATATATATATATATATATTAGACTGATTATATTCAAATTTTGTTGAAATGTTTTCTTGGCAATTTTGATTTAAATTTTCCCATTACTTGTACAGCCTGCGATTTTGTTTTCGGTCGCATATGATAAAGACTGCTATAACGGCTAAAAAAATTACTTTTACTTATACAGCATTTAACTAAAACCATGATAATGATAACAACTATAAAGAAAAGTCATTGATAGATCTAACAGGTTTCATTTAAGAATGATATGGTTAAGAAATATTTTCTTTTTAAATTTTTATATTTTTACGTTAGCGATATAAAACATCTATTAAAAGTCTTCATCTTCTCGGAAACAAAATTTTTACAATTTCCATTCCATTACCACTGGCTGAATAACGTTGGTAGTGCGTCAAGGTTTGTAGAGTTATGGGACGTACTTTAAAGAATATGTAGCCATGTAACTTTAGAAAAATAATCATGCAATAAAATTTAAACCAAATCCATCTTGTCAGTGTTTATGGTAAAATATGAAGTATATATATGTATATGTGTGTATATATATATGTATATGTGTGTGTCTGTTAACAGTAATAAAAATCTTATTCTATAAACTTTAAAAAAGTAGGGAGGTTGAAGTACCATTTTGAACCGAAATTGCATCTTTTTTCTAAAACGTTTAAGAGATCGCGAGCTAAAACTTTTATTAGAAATCTTTACAAAAATTTTAAAACTTGCAATATGACAATTTGAAGATACTGTTTAGCACTTGAAAAAGTACTTACAAGTAAAAAATACTTAAAGTTCAAGTTTTAAAAATTTCAAAAATTATAAACACATTTCTTTTCTGTTAATAAAAAAATAATACTCCCTCAGTATCGAAATGATTTTATGATTTATAAATTTGTGTTGGATTAAAGAGAAAGAAGAGAGAAGAGAGGTTATGAATATGTTAACTTCTTTCTACTTTTATAAAACAGAATTTTGGTACTATAATTTCATTCTGTTTTATAGAGCTATGGGGAAGAAATCCAATTTAAGGTCTTAAGAGAGAAATGGGTCTCTACAGGAGCTATTGAGAAACTTTAAAAATGAAAAACCTAAGCAAGGTATTATAGAGGCTATTGATTAAAAATGGGATGTCTCGATCAAAATTGTTTCTAAGATTTAGCTACGAGCCAAACGCTGTTATGACAGAGATGAAGATGGATGGAACATTGAATTATGTTATCAAACCTTCCAATAGCCTTGAATTAGCATCTTGGAATTAGAATTCTTTAATGCCATACGAGCATTACACCATCAAGTTGCGTTTACTAACATAGACTAAATTATTCAAGCTGTTTATACTTCATTCAAAGCATAAATACCGAAGTATTAAACGTTGCTATTTTCTCTTTGCAACAGGCTATAAAATGCACTACGTAGGTTGGCGAAGGAAATAATTATAAACTGTCACACACAAAAAAAGCCATGTTTCCATCTCAATGCAGTCTCCCGAAATTCATTACTTGTGCCATAAAATTCATTAATATAGCTCATGATGATAAAGTAATTTTAAATTTATATTAACACATATGAAATAAAAGCTAAATGCGTATTACACTCACATAGACGTTGTGGAAATTATTTTGATTAATTGATAGATGGCGCTAGCGGTGCGTGTTAACGCGACGCGACGTGCCTTCTGATTTCGAGACCTCCACCGCAGCTCGATAATGAAGTCTTATCGACACTTTTGATTAGGACCTTCGGTTCCTATTGATTTAATTAAAACGAAACCAAGTTTCAGGACCACGTGTCCAATTAAAAAAACGAATCGAGTTGAATAAGAAGAAATTGATACAGTACATAAAAAATTTGACCAATGAATCACGAATAACGACATTCCAATGAGCGTGATTTAAATCAAGGCGAAGAGTTTGAAACAGAATCTATCTTTATCGATACGAGAAAAATTCATTATGTCATTTCAGAGCAATAAAAATTGAAGAATTAAATAAAGTAACAAATTCGATAAGAAAACACTCTTCACGAAACGAATGCTAAAGCAATAATGACCGTCTGCCAATTACCCTCGCTAATCTATGGAATTATACACAGGGACAAGTTTTAGGACTCTTCAAGTAGAATCCCGCTAATGACTCTTTACAAAGATCGAACATTTAATTATTTAAATCGTACTATGCACAACGCTGCAAACGCATAGAAGGTTTTGCTTTTGGAAGAAATTCGAAGTTGTCAAATACTAAAACAGGTTGGCATAATGATATAATATAAACTCACAATGCAAAACTCCTGAACTTACCCCAGTAACCAAATCCAGTGACACTGTAAAACTTCGCAAACTTTGTGACACTATAGAAACTCAATACGCAGCTTGATATCATTAGTCACACGGATAAATACAGTTATATGTTGTTCCATCCATAATGAAAACTCTGCCGGCTATATAACCTTAAATTCAATCGTGAAACGATTCGTCATCTTTTTTTAATTTGACGAATTATTGCAGTTTGTTCGTTCAGAATTAGAAAGTCGAGAGAAGCCCATCTTTTGCTCTCCACCATAATCAGAAGCCTTCCTGTGTTTTAAAAGAGAAGGGAGGGAAGGGAATATCGCTCATTCCACTTACCAGCTGCTGGCGCCGGTTAAAGAAAACAAAACTACTAATTGCTGTCTGTTTTGTAATACCTCCAACATGTTACTGAAGACTGTGATCATTGACAGTTGATGAGAAAAATTTATTACGTAAACATGCTAAATGTTTCCTTTGCTTGAAATCAAACCACCGCATAAGCACTGTCGAAGCGATCTCGTCTGCTTCAAGTGCAAGGTCGACATAACCGTTCAATATGATTTCGCGCTGAGAAAGAACTAAATGAAAAAAAAAAATAAAAGTATAGAAGATTCGCATGTTCTTTCAGCACTCTCTTACAGCAATATTAAAACTATTTCCCTTCAAACATGTTGCGTAACACTTCAAACAACTACGCAGTCGGTTTTCATTAGAGCTCAACTGGACTCAGGTAGTATGCATTTCTTCCTGAAAAAAGAAATCGCGGATAAATTGAAGCCTCCTATTATACGAACATAGACTCTTTCGGTATTTACGTTTGGAAATAAAATACCAATTAGAAAAACATTTGACATTGTTAAGATCAAATTACAGAACAAGGAAACACCGAATTTGAAAATTGAATTAGAAGCTCTCGTGACTGAACAAATTTCAAGTTCTGATTTGCCACCTCTTAATCGTAATAGACACATTTTAAGCAAACAGAAGGTTTACAACTCACAGACTCTTGGGATTCCAAAGAAAAAAATACTCTTTTGATAGGAACTGATCATTATTATGATATAGTGACTGGGAAACTTAAGGGTTTAAACAAACATTTAGTAGCTGCTGAAACGTTATTCGGTTGGTCTCTGCTAGGTTGCACTAAAGGTACAACATACACATCCACAGCCTTTAATATCGTAGTTGAGGAATAAACATATCTGATCAGCAGATAAAGAAATTTTGGGAGCTTGAAAGTTTAGGTATAAAACCTGAAACTGAATCATCCGACCCATTAGACAATACCATAATGAAAAAATTCGAATCGGAAATTTTATACAGAAATTCTCGTTACAAGGTTAGGCTGGCATGGAAGTCTGATAGAAAATATGAGTCACATGACAATAAAGCGATTGCGCTGAAACGATTACCTCACAGAGAAATCGTTCGTAGTGATCGAATTACTAGTAAACTACGTATCGTATTCGACGCGTGTCTATGGACCTGGTGAAATCTCGTTAAATGACTGCTTGCATATTGGTCCAAATTTGTATCCTGACATTTTTTAACTTCTGTTGGCCTTCAGGCTTC